GTTAGTAATTTAGAAAATAGCGATAACGTAAACGAAGATTCTCAAACAAGTATAACAATACCAGAAACACCGCCCTCTGGCGATTCTCAAGATGATAATGATAAAACTATCGAAAATAAAAATGAACAGATTGATAATGAATTGGATGATATTAATGATCAAACAAAGAGAAACTCTAACGAAGTACAAAATCTTACATCAAATTGGGAAGATCCTCTCGAAGGACCAAGTTGGTTGTTCAACAATTTCCAAACTGTACCTTGTTACATGGACGAGAAGACTGATAATGTAAATGTTTCTAGCAATGATAGTATGTGTATAACTCTAAAAGCGACAGACACAAATGATACATCAGATAGTGAAAATTGTGTGGAATTGACATCCTCAATGCCGTTATCAAACAGACGTAAAAGTCAAACACAAATGTCTAAAACGGATAAAGGAACATATAATAAAAATGAAAACACAGTTCATCAGCAGAATAGGAACAATGAGATTTTGGGTGATACGTTTACATCGACTGCTCTAACGGATACAGTTGAGAATGAACCTACAGTGAATTTAGCAAATTTTGTTACGCAAAGACGAGGTTGTTTCGAAAGCGAAGACGAAGATGATTTTACATTGCTTCTTATGCGGCGACCGCGTAACATACCGTTTGACGTAAACGATTTAAAATTACCTGTTTTAGAAGAGTCTGCACTAAAACCCATAGCTTCAGTCGATTCAGAACCTGAAATAACTACTACTCTTCGAAAGATATCCCAAATCGGTCCAATTCCGTCTCTTGCAAATAATAGCCTAAACGAATCCACGTTCAGTCAATCCATGGTAAAACTACCACTACTTATAAATAATGATTACGACAATAAAGACCTAAGACAATCGAAAGATGAACCTGAATCTTTATCACGGAAGAAAAAAGTAAAGAAGGTAACTGTAAGAAATTCTAGTGAGTGTGTTGACACTTCGGCAACATTAAACAGGAAGAATAACCAAAAAAAGAAGAACAAGCCTCCGAGTAAAGACCCAAGTTCTGCTAAAGTAGTACTGCAGAAATTAGATGAATCTGATGTCAAGTTGAGGACACCCACCCCTGAAGAGATAACTCATGATTCCATGCAATCCTTGTACGTACTATAAACCAACATTAATAATAATAGGAAGTTTATCTTCAATATATTGAGCATACGCGATTCTAATTTGTACATTTAATCGCAGGAGCCCAGTTTCTTTGCGCATGGACAATTCTACCGATTCTGACAGCAGTAGTGCAAGTACAAACAGCGCTCACACTTCAAATCGTCCTAGACGGAGAAAAGCTCCTATAAGTATGCAGGAACCCAACTTAAGAAAGTAAATAGTCTTCCTTCAATGTTCTTTTTAACGCTTACTACATATTACATGCAATTATTAAGTCATAATTGATACATTTTTAGGAAATTGCGGAGGAACCGTTAATACATATTTTTATTTCCATTTATTCAACGAGGTGTACCCTTGAATTCAGAGTGCAAGAGTGGGTAGAGATACAATGAGGAACTACAAATAATAAGACAGATTACTCTGTGCTCGATGTGTTTTGTCATTCGTTTCTCGAGTGTCAATGGATTCGTCTTTATCGGTTTAATGTAAATAATTACTGGCATCCATGATGAATTCGTTGAGTAGTCTTTTCAAGGAGGAATACATTAAAATTATATTAGACTTTGAATCATACTACTTCCATTGCAACGCACACCTTTATTAGATGAGTACTGTTAATTATTTACAGACGATCGTTATGCTTTGACGTAGTCCTAGTTTCGATAATTTTGGCTTCCTGGTGGTTTCATATTGTATGTTGTACTTTTTGTACTATGTTGCAGGAAATAAACATGAAATATAAACGAATATTTTATTTTCTTACCATATCAGTTCATCGTATAAAATTAATAATATTAAATTACTACAATTCGTCAATAAAAATGATACAAAAGATGAAACTTTATCGACAGTCATTTAGAATTCATATTTTCGAACACAGAATTCGATTTATCAGGTGTTCAACAATTTCAACTTTTATCATTTTCGCTACAAAAATTATTTTTTGTATTCAATAATTCAACAAAATTATAATTCATAATTTATATTCATAAATTCATAAATTTTCCTTTTTGGATCATAAATGTGTATTAGGTGTTAAGTGGCGTTAATCGATAATCGATATTACGAAGTTGTTAGGTTTCGTCTGTTTCGATATTACAATCAAAAGAAATCGTTATTCGTTCAAAGGCGTTCGGTGAAGAAGGACGTAATGCGAACACGAGAGTTTCAAAGAGGAATCAATTTTTAGCACACTATTTTGAAGCTAAGCCGCATTTTCTTCATTAAAGGTAAGGATACAGTAGTATCTTAACAATTTTGAATGTTATTCTGTGTAAATCAAGTAGTTTCAAGTATTAAAACGATGATCCCTTACAACATGGACGCCATAGACGAATACCCTTCTTTTGTACATAATTTCGAATCCCGAATAAGAGATAAAAGCTTTTGTCGAATAAAACTTTAAATTTAAATTATATCCCATTTTATTTGTCATTTCTTATTCGAATAAAACTGTATTCATCTCTGATGGGCAAAAGCTATACGTGATTAGAAGTATTGCAAGTAAATTTAGAAAGCTTGAATGTTCGAATTAGTGAAAATATTTGTCGAATAAATGAGTATTTGCCTCGACTTTGAAAAAGGAAGAGGTTACTTAATTCGACATGTATAGTTTTTTTTCTACGAAATACTCGAGCGACACTAATGAAGACCCGCCATTTTTGAGGTGTTCGAGAATCGGAGGAGATTTGAAAATTCATCAATCTTAATGGCCGCGTTCAAAGAGGTCGCTGTAGCGCGCAAATAAAAAAGCTAGGTCTCCAGCAAGAAGTGTTGTGTATAATGGATTTAACCTTCTCTATTTCCAAGCTAAAAGCTGGTATGTCTATAGAACAACCGGTGTAGAGACGGAAATTAATTATGTTTGTTTAATTTCGCGATGGGAAAAACAACTGGCATTGCCTCGCCCACGTACATAAGCAACTGACGCGAGATTTTGTTCGTTTCCAAACGACGATTGATGATCGCATTACTCAATTGAGCTAATTGTTTACAAAAAATATATATATCAGGTTAGTAGCGTTCGTAAATAATTGAACAATAATGTTTTCTTTCTCTACTCCAATCGATTAATTAGTTACTTTATTAATGACACGTAGGTTTGTTAAAATAATTATGAATAAAACAGAGGTTACTTGTATGATTTGAATGATGGTTTCTAAAATTAATAAATTTTATTTAGTAAGAATTTCTACGGTATATGTAGGCCGAGAACGCTAATACTTGTTATCAATTTAAAAAGAGTATATAATAACGAATAGTAATAGTCAGTTTTTAATGTTATTTTTTGAGTAATATTGTTTAATATTTCTGTAATATTAATTATATATTTAGATCGTATATTTTTGGAACGATACTTTTATGTTAGAAAGTATTTTTCTATTTGAGGACAAATATGAGTGTTGCCATAGAAAACAAAGTCATAATTCATTAACACGAGTACTTTCGGTTTGTAGATGATTCCATAATTGGTAAACACGTTACCTGAAGCCTGAAAATTAACGAGAGATCCGGATAGAAGCGTAAACATTTTACCTGAATCTATCGAGTGCGTAGATAGCCGGGATGGGCAGTAGAGTTACCCTATCGGTAAGTAGCGCTTATTTACGATATTCTTGTAAACATCTGACCTGGATGGGTCTGCGATAATAACGAGACCTATCCCAAATCTTTTCCTATTATGAAACGATATTTCCTGACAATGAAAAAGACATTACAAAACAATTAAATTGGAAGGTTGAAAGTAAGGAATTATTTAACAACGTTCAATTTATATTTTTTATAACAAAGCTCTAGAATAATAAAATACTGCTCTGCAAAGTCCAATAATTACATCTTTCCAAAACAATATTATCGATAAAAATAAAACAGAGTAAGAGAGAAAGGTTTAGTTTAATAACACGAATGTTTTCGAAGAGAACACTTACTTAAGCACGTGTAGAATATTTGAACAGATTTAAGTTTGTGATTACTGAAATCAACTTGTAAAATTCCAACGAACTACCATCAATTAAGATTGCGGAACACTTTGCCCAAGATGCATGCCGTCAATTACAAGCATCATGCAGTGAACGCGAGATAGCGCGAAACAATCATGATTTGTGTATTGACTTTATAGCTCGTTGATACGGGTTTATGTAATGGATGTTAGCATTAGCGCATTTGCACGCGCAAGTATACTTATAGCCCGTATATGAAAATAAAGATGAATAAATTAACTAATTTATGATAATAAATTTTTAAACTATTTTTGAAGCATCAAAAAAGTAGCCTATATTATATGTCTTAATAAACTTATTCATCAAAGTTTTAGAATAAAATTACTAATGGTGCACAATTGTCTGAAGCAAATCAATTTATAAACATCGACGTTTTGGATCGTGTAACGCGAAACGAGCCGTTCTCGCAAGCGCGAGCTGTGGAAACGTAAAAACATCAACGGAGCGTGGGTGTTGGACAGTGAATTAAACAGAAAAAGAACATCGTGCTAACGTGCAGCAGTAATTCAGAACGCATATTAAATTCCATTCGAATATTTTCTCGAATACGATGCTCGATAGCGGTCGTATTATTTACAGCGCATCATAGAACGTTGCTATTATCGGGGCTCAAAAATAACAAGCGAATTACAGTAAGTAAAAGTTGTCGCCTGTTAAACGCGCGCACCGGCGTTCAAACTCTCCCTCCACTGGGAAAACGTTAGTCCAGTGCGCACGCGTCAGCCATTTCCTAGTAGTGTCGATTGTCTGGCCAATGGGTGTCGGCGAGTGACGCCACCACTGGCCAATCGCTGAATGCGCTGGTGGCGTCGGAGTTATTTTTAGTGGACGTGAGTCACGGGATATAAGGCAGTACATTTAGTTGGGTGTTCACAAGTTGTCGAGACATCGTGCCGTGCGGCAGAGTGACATCCGCGTCCGACGTTATAGTTGCAGGCTGTTCTAGAGGTGCACACGCGCAGAACATCACGTTTGTCGGATTGCGTGTCGTGAGTCATTGTTGTGTTGACAGTTGAAGCAGGTCGGTCCTCGTGTCACCGTCGTCCGCTGAAAGAGTCGGACGTGCGACGTGTATGGAAGTCGTGCGTTAGGTGGACGGGAAATACACCTTCTGCGTCTCAACTTTCGGAGCGATATCGCGAGGCGCATATACCACATACGCCGCGAGTGCCGCGGGACGAATGTGTTGATACGTGGACGTTTTCCTGTGTGTCGCATCTGGTGAGGGGAAAGAGACGATCCGAAGGGACCCGTGGCGATACAAGTACCGTCAGTGAGTCTACGAACCGGACTGCACGGTTATGTAACGACGGTGAAAAAGTAAACTGGTGTGCTCGGTGGAAAAACAGAGATTCGCAAACGGAATTGAGCGATCGATTATCGAAGGCAACCGATCGTCGCGTTTTAACAATTACTCGTGCTACGAGCGACGGCGAAGTCAGCGGAGAACAGCTCTAGTCGCGCAACGAGTACTCTAACCAAACTTTCGATTGGCAGGCAGTCAGTTCCGCGGCATCGATGGTGCGGAGTACGACGATGGAGCAGACGTTCTACGAGGACACGAGCGTCTACGTCGCCGTGAATCGCGAGAACAACGTGGGCCAGCTAAAACGCAATCTAACGCTAGATTTGAACGGATGTCAGAGACAGGGACCTCAGGCGAAGAGGCCTCGATTGGGGCCTCTACCGCCGGCGTTAAACATGCCGCCTATTTTGAGTTCACCAGACTTGAACATGCTGAAGCTCGGCTCACCAGAGCTGGAGAAGTTCATCATCTCCCAACAGGAGACCTTAACGACGAATTTACCAACGCCTACGCAGATTTTGTTCCCGAAGGCTGTCACCGAAGCTCAGGAACTCTACGCCCGTGGTTTCGTTGATGCTCTGAACGAACTTCATCACTCGGACAGCTCCCAGGAACCAGGCAGCATCCATGGAGCGACGTACACGACCTTGGAGCCACCGAGCAGCGTGCAGAGCACAGAATCTTCGGTGAGCCAGGGTCTGATCCAGATAAAGGATGAACCCCAGACGGTGCCCAGCGTGTCCAGTTCACCAGCTATGTCCCCCATTGACATGGAGAACCAAGAGAGGATCAAGTTGGAGAGGAAACGTCAGAGGAACCGCGTGGCCGCTTCCAAGTGCCGCAGGCGCAAGCTCGAGCGCATTTCCAGGCTCGAGGACAAGGTTAAGCTGCTCAAGGGCGAGAATACCGAGCTCAGCGCCGCGGTGCACAGGCTGAAGGAGCACGTGTGTCGGTTGAAGGAGCAGGTGATGGACCACGTGCATTCAGGTTGCCAGATCATGGCTGTGTCAGGTCAGTTCTGAGCCGACGGCCCGGACGGGACTCTCTGACGTGTGTTTCGTCTGGTGACATGGCTTCAGTAAACGTGGTGACGGTCCCTTGGTCACGGAAAGTTCCCACGAGGGAAACGATGGACGTTGTCCATCCGAACGCGTCGTTTTCGTTGCCCTGTTTTCTTCGTTGTTTCCATGGAGAAATACGGGGGACGGTGAAGTGTTAGACGGCGTGATAGAAAGGGAGTGCCTTGGTGTGCCGCGCCGGGGGGACAGATGTGCTTCCCGAAGGGACACGGGTCGACGATGGAGATTAATATCATCTGCATCTCTGCGTGTGGCTCAGCCATACGCACGTGAAACGCGCTGCGTGGAACGCTCGCGGCCCTGCGGATAGCGGCGCGGAGAAGAGGAAGCTTGGAACTGTATAGTACCGCGGTGAGGAGCGGGGAACGCGGGGAAGAGGCGAGCGGCGATGGAGAAAAAGGAGAGTGGGTGGGACTTGACGGAGAAGGAAGAGAGGGACCTCGCGGAGCGCGGCCATTTTGGAGAACCGCGAGTACTGGCGGGAGATTCGAATTTCCGCGGTGCCTAGAACAGGGATAGGGAATTCACGATTTTGGAGGCTACTATGTTGTCAATCGCGACGATTGTTCTTCATTTATAAAAGATGGATTCTCAAATATTTATTCTAGATATATAGAATTGTAAAGTTATTGTAGCACTTTGGTGGAAATTAATTATAATTTGAAGTTCGTTTCGTAGGTTCGTTTCTAAAAAGAAATTAATTTATATGTAGACACACATCTCTTCGGAATATCAGTAGCGGCCTTGCAATGCTAGATTCCCTATCCTTGACCTAGAAATTTTCCATTTTATAATATTCGAGGGAAACTCAATCATCGGCGAGAATCTGTCGAGGCCAAGTTGTCCTCGTTAAATCGTCGTTTTATTTTCGTTTTCTCTTCTATTCTTTGTTCACTTGCTCGAGTTTCCCTCCGCCGGGGAATAATACCTCTTTGCATTCTTTGTATTTGATCCACCGAGATTGTGATCGGTTTCGTGTAGTTTTTGTAACGAGCGCGTGTGCGCGCTCAATTAGTAACTATTTGTCGTTACCGCGGAATCTTCCGAGTCGCTTACCATTTTCTCTTGTTAGGAGTTTGAATTGTCGAGCGATCAGGAACGATCCTCGCTTGGTCCGGGATTTCGTGGCAATCCGCGAACGGGAGACGTTTTTTCTTCTTTGGCAAATCTTTTTATACTCTCGTGACGCGAACTTTAGGAGCGATCGCGCGCGCTTTTTTTTTCTTCACGTTGAATAAATTATTTTATTCAAACGAAGCAAGCTTCTGTCGAAGATTCGTAGGATGTACATAATAACGCTAATATACGTATTCACGCGCAGAGTAACAATTAATAGTTTGTAAGATTCGTTTTTTTTTGTGGGAGGGGAGGGGGGCGAATGTGTCGAACGTACGTGTAAGAAGCGACTGAAAAACATAGTGCTTTTTACGGTCGGAATCTTTGGCAGAGACGGGCAGAATTTTCGTCGAATAATAGATGAATAAAAACACGATATTTTATTCAAATGTCATAGTTTGATTGCAATTTTTATTCGACGAATAACACATCGAAAGTTGTTTATTCTTCGAAATTTTTATCTACATAAGAAGTTCGCCCAGCTCTGATCTTCGGTGCCTAGACGCGAATCAAAAACGCTAATTGTTAAGTAGCGTAAACACGGTGCTGTAAAAATGTACTCGAAGAACACACGCGTTAGATGCAACAGTTGCTATCCACTTTTCATTTCCTTTTTTTGGTGAAACAATCGCGAGCTTACGAAATTCTTCGATACTTTCGACCGACGATTTCTCGACCTCGATCGTTTAACCCCAATTTTTCTGAGAGTACTACCATTGTTTTAAGGCTGTACAAATAGAATAGGTGATGGGAGCAGTTGCCGGCGTTGAAATCACCGTCAGAGATCATCTTCTTGTCGCGTTTGGATGCGACGCACCGAATTCCTTCCCTACTTGTCGTCGCAAAATGTTTGTAAAACAGGTAGTTTAACCCAGGTGTGCCTGAATGTTGTTCTGTTATTTAAACAAAAATCGTTACATCACAAATTTTAAATATACAGTTTAGGTATGGCATATTTAAGTAAGGAAAAAAGTTTCAGCTAAGTAACGTCGTCAGGATATCTAAATTGATACTTTTAAAAGAATGTAGGCTTGAAATACTTCAGGTACATTACAAATCTTCCTGGAAGAACGTCAGACTGGGTTAACGATATACAACATTTATATTGGAATAATAGTTGATCTCTTAAATTCTTTTTGCTCGGTGCATCGTGTCCAGACTGCAACTCTCCACGAGAAAGCCCCGAGAATCTTTCCTTCTTAGCTTTTAAGCCTAGCCGTGGCGCAACCAAAAATTGTCAAATAGAAGGGGGACAGTATTTTTTTCGTATAACAATATTTATAGATGAACGTAACTAGATTTTTACAATGATAATTCCTCTTTTATTGCGAGGTACGTATCGCGACGAATTGTTTAAATACTTTACAAACGAGGGACAATCCCCTGCCCCCTTCTGGTTGCGTTAACAGTCGGAGACTGGTGTGTAACGAGTCGCGTCCACCTCGGTTCCTCGACATCTCCGCGTGTCTTGGAGCCTCTTTTGTTTCGTCATATGTGCATCTAGTCTTGTCCAGTATGCCCTCGTAAATTATGCGTACCACGTGCTATGCGCGGGGATCTGCATAAAATATACACACAAGTGCACAGGCATCGATTGTGTTACCACGCGCGGCGACGACGCTGCATTTCAAAGGAATACAATGCAAATGGAAATCGATTTTTCGCGCGAACGGGGAAAGAAACGTCGGGAAGGTTCGCTTGGGTTGCTTTTCTTTCAATTTCGATCGAGCCACGTGGTAACAGAATCGCGCAGCGTTACCGTTGTGCCATTACGCAAGGAATGATGAAAAAGAAAAGAATAGGATTTCCCTCGGAGTATCGCAACACTTCTTGTCTATTTGATGGTCAAAGTTGGCCAATTACTACTCTAGATTCCGATTACTTCTGTTCATCTGTGGCGCAACATATGCATAATGTGTTATTCGTAGAATACGTTTCGTAAATTAATGCAATAACATTCACTCTTTGCACGTCTAAGATTCAGGCACTTATGTGCGCTTGTGTTTGGTTAATACGAATTTGAAGTTTGAAAATTGCCTTAGATTCAGAAATGTAAGAAAAAACTGCTTGAAGTCGATTACCAACGTACAGCCAAATTTGTTGGAGTGCAAATGGTTGATGTTAATATTTTTAGGCATATGTTCCTCGCATTTTCCTGCAAGTGCATAAAAGCCGCAGTCTGGTAATCGTAGATAACATTAGTAATCTACGATCATGGGTCAGTAATCTCACTATTCGTAATCTTCCGAAGCTCGTTCTACCAGGTTAATCACGTTGTTGATTGTGATTACTTGATAATCAGGAATCGCATGCTAGGAAGGAATAATAATCGAGAGCTCGTGCGTTTCTTCGTCGATTCAACGATGAAATTGTCCCTGAATCGGGCGATTCCACGGAATCCCGCGACCATTGTTGCAAATTCCGTCGAATCGTCTTGACTTTTCGTTACGTAGCGTGGATTACGTAACTCCCAGGTTAGGAGACTCTGAATTCACGGTACGTGCGGCCGATAACGTGCCGCGAATAATCGTCGGAGGAGCGATAGTCCGGTTTTGCGACTCATTTTCGTCATCGCCCATGTCGATAACGAAGAAACGCTCAGTCCCCAAAACAAACCAGAAACAATGAATGTAACTGGGACAAATAATGAAAAAAAAAAAAGAACACTGCGAATTGTTGCGATGCTTCGGTTCCGTAGGTCACGAACTTGTTCAGCATGAGGTGTAGGTTTAATCTAAGTGGCGTACAATAAGCGAACTTTGCCATCGGGAGATTGCAATTCGAGAAAGGAAAAGAAATTCGTTTATATTTTTTAGATACACGTATTACGGGGTCGTTGGAACAGTCTCTTGGGCGACGTTTTCATCGCGGAGGAAAAAGATTTATCAAACAAAGATTTCACTCGCTACTCTTTGTTTTATTTAACTCTTGGAGTCCATTCGAATCGAGAACTCCTAAACGCTACCAATGAAACTTTCAACCTCTGTTCCCTGCGTCTTCGTGACTTTCGCGCAGAGTTGGGCAGAATTTATTATTAATAAGAACGCTAGTGGAATACTTCATTCCAATCATTTAAATTCTAATTTTTATTCAACTTTTATTCGAGACTTGTTTACAGATAAAAGTTTGGACGTTTTTGTGTCGAATCTGAAACACGAGAACATTCTACAATTTAGATTGTAATTTTTATCGAACAAATAACGGACCAATGGTTTTCCACAATTTTTCGTATCCAGATTTCGCCCACCTCTGCTTTTTCACGCGCGACTTTCGGCACACATAACTTGACAATTTTAACCTGTAATTTATTTCTCGTAATGAGTTAAGCGTGCGCTGTTTTCTCGTGCGTCGTTTTATTTTTGAAAAATTTATTGTAAACGAACACCTTTGCTGGCAAGGACAGCGTTCCCTCGACGAAGAGCGCTTTAGCGATATCGTGTCGTTTCAGGGGGCGAGGAGGAGTCGTTGTCAACTTTTTGGATATTTGTATGGTGTTGTTGTAAGAAGTGGGGCTCCTTTTCGTCGGTCTGTATGTACACGATGTGTTTTGTGATGAGGAAAATAAGAATTAAGCGTCGAGGAACATTTGTCTCGCGAATCGGCCATCACGTACTGCGTGCCTTTTTCACCAAGTAATAAATTCAGGGATAGGCAAACTTCCGGTCGAATAAAAAATAAATAAAAACTGAGAAAAAGATTTTCTTATCGATATACAATATCGTATAATTGCTTAATATGGATTTTCAATTTTCATTAAATCGCTAACGCGTCAAATGTTGTTCATCGTTTATTCGTTATTCGAGAATTGTATTCGAATTAGAGTTTTGTCTATCTCTAAACGAAACACCGCAACGTTGGTGATTCCAAGGGCTCCTCGTGCACATGATTCTCTCTCTATTTCTGATGTCTTGTTTTTTTTTTTTTTTTTTTTTTAACGAAAAATTGTGCACGAGGATCGGAGGAAACACCGAACGTAATTTTAAAACCCGGACCTTTTTAGCGGCTAAGACGACGATAGATGAATTGATAATGTGATCGAACTCTCGTTGTTACGATCGACTGAATTTAAGATGCATACAAAATGCCAGTTAGGAAACGAGCGAGAAAAGCGGTGGCACAAAAAACGTATGAAAGTAAAGGAAACCACAATGTGATTTAGTCTGTAAGTGAAAACCCCATTAGAGTATACATATATATATATCTATGTATATACGTATATGTGTATATATATGTATACGAGCGTGTCTGTATATGTATACATATATGTATATAGTTGGTACAGTGATAACGAAACGACGATAAGCGCAGCATATATAGAGTTATATATAACCCTATACATGAGAGTAAATATTGCTATTATTATGTAATATTATATATATGTATATATATGTGTATATATATGTATACATATGCATATATGTATATGTATGTATGTATTGTCTGCCGACGAGAGCAGAAGAATCTTTTTTTACGAATAATTTTATTTTTGAATGAAATACAATGAAAAATAAAATTTCATTATATTGAACGTACAGCAGCGAGTGTTCTTTTCGAACCATCCCTCCCCTTCAACCACTTTTCAAGTATACAGCAAGAAAAATTAAACAAAACAATTAAACAATAATTATTCAGACTTGTATCAATGTATGAAGTTACACAGTTTCACAGTTAATAATAGATTAACTTGTTTTAGAAGTTGCAACGGTTTGTTCTAAAATTTCATTTGTTATTCGAGATTCTACTAATTCAATGAATACAGTTCTTCGTGTGTTTCGTTCGTAAATTTTGCCCCACGAAGCGTCGGATACGCCAGGAAAGAAACCGGAATTCCAGCTTTAACTCGCATCTCATCGTGCGCCGCGTTAATTATCGCAATTGGCTAATTGGCTCAATTGGGAAAGTTCTCGGTACGAATTAAGATCGACGCAACGGCGATCGTAAATTTTTACAAGTCGTTTAACAGTCGATTCGACGGTTCGTTCGAGGCCGTCTGTTTTCTCGGTAAACGCGAACGCTTCTTCCAGTGTCGTTTCTAAATCTCGCCAAGTAGCGAACAGCGAAAGTTAATTGTCGAAGGTAATATCTTCTAATGTTCTAGTTCGCTTTCCGAGATATTTGCAAAATTAACCGTTCGCGAGATAACATCTAAAGTGAGTCGTTTAGGGGCACCGTCATTAACGGATATTGTCAGTTTTTATACCCGGTGTTCAAAGTAAAAGGATAAAGACGGAAATAGACAAAACCCTAAGTCATGAATCAAAACACAGTCTGAGGATTTATTTGCAACAGTAATTTTTATAAGTTTCTTCTTTTAACGCGAAGGAAACAATGTGCAAATTTTATCTTTTATAAAGATATTGTTATTCGAAGACACATGTTTCTGCATTTTTTTTTTCCTAAACGTAGAATTGATTTTTACAACGTAGAATTGGGAAAGGAGCTTCAACTGACCTGGAAATAACCTTTCCTTACAAATAGAAGATAAAGTTATATCCTCTTCGTAGATGAAGATAAAATCAGACAATATTTCCCCCGTGTTATTATTTTGTAATGTCAGTAGTTTAAGCGTTATTTCAACCGGAACTCGCCTCGGGGCAACCCGTACATCTTTAGCTCACTTATTACCCAGAGAGATTCGCGTAGAGATAATTCTTTGGTATAACGAGCGTCCCGAAAGTATAATGGAGAACTGTTACTTACGTTCCGACCTGTATTTTAACGCGCTCGAATGCGCTTTGAACAACGTCGGGTTCTCAATCATTCCGCGAACAGGAGACGGATTGTTCGTCGGCATGGGAGCCACGGATTCTCGTGCAAGCTGTATCGCAACGTTTACATTAAACTATCGAGTTATTTTTACACGTCGAGGACGTTGAGCGCGAAACAAAGCCGTTCGAATCTGGATATCGCAAGGTTTCGCGAAAGAGGAGCGCTAGAGAGAGAATGTAGGAAGAGTGCTGGCGACCCTGAGAGTTCTCCACTAGAATATCACTCTAGTCGAGTCTGAAAATAGGAAAAAAAGTTTTAAACTCAAACGAAAAGAAAAGAAGACACTGACGTCAATGTAAACATGTGTTAACGTATTGCCGAATGATTAGGAAGATCCTCTTCGCTGCATTGTGCGCTTATGTGCACAATAAGCGTGCTTACACCAATTGCAAGCTCGCTAAAATCAAAGATAATATGGACAGGTAGCGTAGATAGTAGGTAAGAGTTAATTTTCAAAAGAATTACATGCTTGAGATCACTTGCGCCGCGGTTGGCAGTGTTAATAACAAATGGAAAGGTTGCTTTGTCAGTTGGATCCGGATCGAGCTATTCGTCTTCGTACATCTTTCAAACGCAAAGTATGTATGCTGCGCATAAATAAATACTTGGAATATGAAAAATGATCGTGTAACTGCCCGAGGCTCATGAATAATTCATGCCCAATCTATCTCTTACGTTTGTATTTTTTCACTCGAGTCACCTTGATTAAAGTCGAATTCGTAGTTAGTATTAAGCTGCACTGTAGCGTACACAAGCTTGTCAGATATTGACAGATATAGTAAAAAACTGTGCTGCTAATTTAAAAGACTAGCAATTAATCGTAGTAGAACCAAGTAGAAGCACAATACATCCTGTAATTTGAGTTGCATTCAACGAAGTCCTCTTTTACGTTTATTCCAAGCAAAGTTCCTTGAATTTCGAACTTTGAACGCCAAGTCGATCCAGTGGAAATTAAAATTTCCGAGTCGCATTGCAATCGCGAGGCGGATATAAGCTATCGTCGATATTATCAGAAGGCGTTATCGCCTTGGCTGTATCGGACGTAACTTATCACTCGAAGAAAGACAAACAGTCGATCCTTTCAAGCTGCGATGCTAATAAATGAAAATTCCTTTTCCCTAATCCGTAGATACGAGTAACCTGAAATAATTTATCAATTGGGGAGGGAACCTCGCGATAAGGCGCACAACGTGCTCGTTATCAGAGTCGAACACACTCTGTGACCTAGCTGGGTAATTTTCAATTGTCTATCACTTAGACATTTCGATTAATAAATCTCCGAGAGACTTCCAACGTTGTTCTTACCCACTTCTAGCTTGCATTGCGATCTTAACGTTACCTACCACAACCTCGCTGCGAAACGATAAATAGTGGTAAAAACAATAATGGTAAACCTCCGTAGGTTTAGCGTTAGAAGTGTTAACATCAATTTTGCGATCCTTCGATCGCCCCCGCAAGGCAGATAGCCCGTTTGCCTGGAGATAACACGCGATGGAACGTACCTGGTCAGGTCTCGACTTGTTCGATCCTATCGCCGGTCGTCGTTGAACTGACCCGAATCGAAGCCAATCGGTCCGAAGGAGGGCCTCTCCTAGTCGTCCTTGCATTTTTATTCAACTAGCCATCGGGTACGCGAAGCAAAATCGTGAAGTAACCGCGACCAGATCCGCTGCCAGCGGGCAGCACATAATTTCCACGAAGTCCGCTCGGTCGACCCCGTTCTCTAATTGATCGATCTTTAATTAACTCTCGCCGTGATCGCATAGAGTGTAGCGGTGATTATCCTGATGGGGCGATATGGCGACAGGAAACTGTACAATGAAGGGGAACAGAGGATCAGTGGGGAACCATAAGGGCCTTGTTGTGTCAACGTTGGCGGAGAGCGCGAAACAGGGACGGATGTTCCTTTTTCTTCTCCATTTTCCTCCTCTTTGTTTCCCATCTGCTTACCTTGGCTTCGCTGGAATGTAAGGAGATAAGTGGACGCGGACGACAGCCGCGAGTGGTTTCCCTTTTTCTTCTTCTTCTTCTATTTTTTTTTCTTTTTTTAATGGAAATACCGTGTACGTATACGCAGTGGCGTTGTCCGCGTCACAGGTGCGCGAAAGAGCTGTTACGAGCGAGGAGGAAGAACCGTCGCGTGATTACACGCCGTGTAATCTGCGGTTTGTATTGAAAACGACCAGCTCGCGTACAAAGTAGCCGCGAATGACGATAGATTAGCGGGCGATTACGTTGCAAACGGGGAACTGTGGCAGGGAATCCTCGGTGAGCATTTAACGATTCACGATGGGTCAATTAAAGTGGACTTTTTCTTTGGTGCAAAGCGTTTTTCCAAGTTCCAAAACATTTTTCATAATTCTGTACGATTATTGTACTTTATTATACCCACTCTCTTATAATTTTACCTTCGTATCGCACCTTCCCATCCGAGTTTATGTATTCTTTCATTTTAGCGGATACCTGGGGAAGATTTCACGCAATGGTACCGAAGAGTCGTTTTTAATTAAGGACTCATATCGATAAGGAAGAGAGAGTTATCTTCTCCAAGGTAAGAATAATATGTAAAATTCTTTCTCGTCGCTTCAGCCTTGTAATTGATATTCGAAAAGGCCCATCTACTTACTTCTTTTCATAGAAACAACTCTCCTACGTTCAGAAACTACCTACTCTTACGTTATCACCCTTTAATCCTCCGATTATTGGACCAGTTACCCCGTATTAAAATAATTCAAAACGATATCTGGACTGATGTCGACAGTTTACGACAGCGAGGGCAGTATTTACAGTAGGGGTTCGTTATCGTCGACGAGGAATCGTAAAACGCGTCGCGCGTATTTCCGCCGCGACGGGCGTTCATTATGCCCGCGGATCGAAATACGGTTTTACGCGAACGTTAAAGCTCATCGACGCGCAGAAACAAAGATGATTTCGCAACGGGCGCGCGCACCGTGTATTTATAGATTTTCCGCGCATAATTACGGCATTCCTGCGCTTTGTCTTTGCAGGACCTCCAGCTATCTATCCCCGAGGCCTCTGTCGTTTATGCATGCGCATAGTTGCGTTTAATGCGCGTAATTTTTAATTCAACTTTTCCGCGCGATTATGGCAGAAACGACACAGCATGCAGGAAAACTAGACTGAAAATTCCTGCGTGTACAGGATTGCGTTCGAACGGGCATGACTAGCTTGGTAAACTAGCTTGCTGAAATTGCAAAATTGTAATACCAGTGTTCGTAAAACTGAGGTGGTCAATTTAAATTCAAATAGGCTCGCATGATTTATATTTGATCAAAGAACAATCAAGTGAAGTTTTGTTAAAATCCATCATTGAATAAATCCACTGAACAACTACCTTAAACCGGACTCGCCGTGTAAAAACAGCGAGGAATCGAAGAGATTAATGCACGCTAAGCTTCAGCATCGACGCTCAAGGAGGATCAAAATCTCTTATGAAAGCGTTCGTGAAACACACAAACACACAATGTGTGCGTGCACGGTTATATTGATGGTGTATCGAAAGGCAAGAAAAAGATTGCCTTATGCAATACCAACAGAACCGCGATTCATTAGTGCCGCGAGTCCGGTTTCGAGTTGAAATACGAGGAGGCAGAAATAGCCTTGTCGGAGAACGGTGCCCGGCGCAGAAAAACAATAACTGGCATCTGAATTTCCTCAGTGGTTCAGAGTCGACCGTAGGAATCGATTATTCTCTCCCTCTTCTCGCCATCGATGATTACTCGCAATTTTCTATTCCGTTTAATTTTTATTCAGAATTTTCACCGCGTGAATTCGATGCAAAAATTCAACGCGTAACAATCTAGAGTGCACTTTCATCCGTGCCAGGCGGAGATTTTTTCCTCCAACGAATCGTTACTGGATCTTTGTTCATTATAAACATACAGTGGCATTCAAAAGTTCCCGGCCAGATAGTTTTTGTGATTTTTCTTCCAAAAGAAAAGTGTTAAGACATTTTTATTAGAATCACATGTAGAGTCATATTACGTGAAAGGATACTACAAAAAAAATCACCGCTATTTATTTTTCTTACGTCTTTATTTGTAGAATACGTAAATTAACGTGTTCAAAAGTTCCCGGCCAGAGTGTTTAACAAAAAAATTATTCTTTGTTTCGATTCTATTTATTGCATAATTTATTTATTCTTCGATTCAATAATTTGTATTGTTCTTTTTTGTATGCATTTTCCTCACCTTAGCCTTCTATCATTGCATATATAGTTAACTGATAGTATAAATAATAAGAAAAACACATTGCCAGAACTGCACCTTATTATTTAAATTTTAAAGAATTGCTTTCCTGTTTACCAACTTGTGGCGATATTATCATTTTTCATGTACTTAGCCACCATTCTGTCTTCTGGCAATTGTTATCCAGGTTTTTTAAGCAATAAATAGTATGAAAACGAATTCACCAGAACTGCACCTTGTCATTAAAATTTAAACAATTTTTTTACAACTTTATCGACTTCTGGCAACATTTAAGCCCCGACCTAGACTTCTGATAGTAGCTTTACGCGATTTCTACAGTTAAAAACTATAATTACACAAAATTTCAGGGCTGCACTCAAAGATTTTATTTTGATTAAAAATTAACATGTTTGACCGCCTGCCTACGCTTATAACCTTGAGAGCGCCTACTGGCTGCAGCGCTATGCTCTTTGTTATCTAGTAAGGAGTGTTTTTAGATACAAATTTTCGCTGCACCTTATCATTTCTGATTTTCGTAGCTAGCTCTCCGTCTATTCAGTCTAAACAGTGTTACCATCGATGAGGCAACATTTTACAGGAACCATTCACCGCGAGTTTCTGAATATTATTGTTCTCCAAAGGTTCTGGATAGAATGAAATTTCGCGCAGCAAGGTGAAAAATGATTTTTCAATTTTTCTCTGGAATGTCCAGAGGTCGTACCACGTTCAAAAATAGCGACTGGGTCGAAGATCGACGCCTGATCGACACCAATTCGAGTTCCATCGCGCGTTCCCCGGCAATCGGAGTTCCAATTAATCTACATCGGGTTCGATTACGCGCCAAATGGCTCGCGCTGCTCCGAATGGATAATTCGATACGAAGGTCGCACGTCGTTCGAGAAGGTTGAACGTCTAGATCTCCTTAACTGATGCAACACACTTTACCAAGATGGAGAAAAATGCGAGGACGATCGCAGATACCCGTACATAGCCGTGTGAGCGTGTATGCAACTTTAACCGGGAACCAGCGCTATTATCGCGAATTCCGTCCACCGTATCTCGTTATTCAACGTCGTGTGCCTGGTATCCTTGAGACCGCTCGCTGTTTTATTTGTTTCCGTTGAAATTATTAGCCCTCTGGAACGTGCTGTCCCGAGAATATTTAATTTCTCTCGATGCACAGTTGCGTGAACCGGCCACCGGTTCTGGTGAAAAACGACCGCGTATGGGGAAAACAAGGAGCGAGAGAGCGAGAGGAACTGGGGAATAAAATAAAAACGAAACGTTACGAGGAGTGCGTCGCGCGATATCTCGTGATAAGTCTCGAGTGGTTTCTATTTTTATCGTCACCACTAAATTATTGGATATAATTTCGAATTCCATTTGGTAGAAAATCGTGGAAGTCTACTTGACTACTAAATTCTTTTTTTTTTTTTTTAAAGTCCGCGACGTTCAGATTGAAAAGTAGATAAGTCGAGGAAGGAAATTATTCGCCTGAAATCAAAACAAGATCGATAGGAGTGTAACGAATAAGTCTCACTGGCGGTCAGTCTGTAACTATACATAAGTGCTGACTTAACAAATTATAAAACTATCGACCTGTGATAGTAGTAATAGGATTTGTTTATTAGACTCCGCGCTCGATGCGTGGTCGCGAGTTGCGCGGAAATTACGCCTCGATCGGACGATCCTGTGCGTTTTATTGTCGTTTCCACTTCTTGTTTAGGAGTATGCGCTTGCACGCACCACTGGTTCGCCTAGAATTCGCGGGATAGCCTTTCCCACGCGATAGCGAGATGAATAATCTTGCGACGATTATTCTCAACGTTGCAGAAACGTATCTTTATCAGTTTCCTACGCTCTTCGATAATAAGACCGTGAGTTTCAGCGGGGATTCACATACCAGCGATATGGCGAGATAAATGGCGACACGATGACTTGTTCAAGCGTAGTCCCAATTTGCTCCGAATTTAATTTCACAGAAGAAATTTTGCTATCCATTTCTTCATGTAAACTATTAAAAAATATAAAAGTATTTCTACAAGTTGCAAAGTTGATGGATCGCGAATTCCAACGGTGATTTCGTTGGAAAAAGTAGTGTAAGCTTTCAACCGTGCCTCGGAGCTCCAGATCTGCTTTAATCAGGAAGGAACTGCGGATTAGGCTACTCCACTTTCATCTCGTAAAACAGCGAAACTGCGCCCCACTTGCTCCGTCGCGAAAAGTGAACCCCGCGATAAAAACCTCTCGCTATCGCGAAACACGTCCGATATCGACATAATCCTTGCTTTTCGCCAAATCAGAACCTCCTAAAAAAAAAATCACACACGCGTCAAGTATATATCAATAAAATAGTTGTCCAACGAGGCGACAGAAGTAACAAGTAATCTACTCTTGTATCACGGACACGCTTGTCTAATCTTCAGCGATCTATCAGCAACGTAACGATCGGTGTTATCTATCAAGGTACTTTTTGTTTCGATGAATACACAGAATGATAGTTGAGCGATACCTGGAGTAAAACAACCATCATCGAATACGTCACACATTCGAGATAAAACCTCTTACAATATTCCTACATTTTCGAAAAGGATAGATGAAGAACTCGGCTTGCCTGTTCGCGCGTCAAGATAAAAAAGCTGATGAAAAATCGAAAGGGAGATGGTTCTTTCGGTTTCGAAGTGGCTAGACTGCCCTCTTGGGACGTTAAGTAGGCCAACCGAGGCGGCGACGCTTTGTGATGTAGATAACTCGCGGCTAATGCAAATGTACGCATGCACGCACGCACGCGACTCGTTGTTGTTGCACGCGTGCGCGTGGCTAGCGCTGGAATGCGCGGGTAAACAAAGAGCACGCGCTCGGGTACAGGCGATTTCACGGCGGGCGTATCGCGAATTGAGTCCTTCGACACGGTTTTTTTCCTCGCCGCGGTTGGATCGCTGATAAAACGCCAGAACGCACTGGAAAGGGGAGTTAGAAGTCAGCGATGCACTCGACAGGATTGTGCAATGCTTTTACGAGCCGCTTTGCGGAACGAGACCGCCTCCGCGCTATCGGAATGATCGTCTTGGGTAAATTGAATCTCGCGGAATTAAGGGGGCCCGCCTCTGAGATATGTTGTCAGCTTCTGGAACAGTTTTTATTCTTATTGTTTAGACCAACGATGTGCAACTGTCGCTGGACCAGATGAGACAGATTTTGGGTTAGGATTGGAAGGAGAGATGCATACGGTGGCTGCAAAAAAACTTGTCTGTGAAATTGTAGTTTCTTAACTTCTTTTTTTATAATTTTTTATAATGATATTTCACATATTCCCTAAAGTCTCTAAGATAGTTATAGTCCAAACAACATTGCACAAGATCCGCAGTCTACTCATCAGGTTATCTCTATCAATTTGTGACTAGTAAACTGTAGCGTTCATAGTCTGTAATTAAAGCCAAGAAAGTATCCATTCTCTGTAAACTCAATTTTAACAAAATCGTATGAAACAATATGTTTCAAAACGGAGAAAGTGAACAAGAATCAGTTCTTTATCACAAATGTCAGGGATCCTTGATGTAATTGAATCCAATTAATCGTGACCACCGGGTCTATTACGATCATACGTGTACTACAATATGTATACATTGTACATGTGTACATTGACATACAGTGGGTGTAGAATGTATTCGTACACCGATCAATTTACAAAAAAACTTTTCTGTGAAATTGTAACTTCTTAACTTCTTTTTTTATCATTTTTTATAATGATATTTTACATATTCCCTAAAGTCTCTAAGATAGTTATAGTCCAAACAACATTTACTAGTTTATATAATTTGCGAAATTAACAAGAAAATACAAGAAATCGGCAGGAATATAAAAGTAATAAGTATTTGTACGATTCTTATGTCGAACCATTTACAGTAGATTTTGCAACGTAAACACATTAGTTTATTGCTCCGTGCGATTTAGAAAACATCAAATTTCCAGGAAATTACTTTTAAACAGTTGTGCGAATACTTATTGTTTCAACATTTTTTTCTTGTTAATTTCGCAACTTACATAAATAGCTATTTTTTTGTTGTAATCTATCTATTCTAGAGATTTCCTAGATCATGTAGAATGTCATTGTTTATAAAAAATAAGTTAAAAAATTACAATTTTACATAGTTTTTTGGAAATTGATCGATGTACGAACGCTTTCTAGACCCACTGTATTTCTATTTTTATATAAAATTTAGATAAAAAGGAGTCCTTGTGTTGTTTGGGTTGTTATCTTTACATTTTTCAGTATTTTTTAACTAGTTGCAAGCTGTGCAACCTGGAATCGTGTAATCTATTGTAATAATACATGGTTTCCCTTTCTTTTAGGCTACAGCCTTGCACTTGCTTGTTTGTCTCTATCTTATCACTTTCCTTAAGCTCATCTCTTCAAAGGAGGCATCAAAATGCAAAGAATCAGAATTCGAACTCCAGTAGGAAGTAAATAATGAAAAATGGGCATCGTAGGATAAAATCTCGTAACACACATCGTGTTCATACTTTAAAAAGCGAGTATCTTGTGTACAATCGTTCCCTTGAAAGCGCTCGTATCCGCGGGGACAATGGAAATCTACATTGAATCGCGATGCCGCGGTTGGAGATCACGCGTGTTGGTGGAAAGCGGGCTTAAAGGCCGCAGATTAGTCGTTAAACCGACGATATACATGTGTAAGTCGCGATAATAATACCATAACTCCTGACAGGGATAATGGAATATACACCACTGACCTAGTGCTATAATAGCGCCGAGCAAAACGACATTTTTGATAGCGCAGCTGCATTACTTTATGCGAATTATTAACGATAGGATTATATTGCCTTGTATCTTCTCGGACCGTTCCCCATTACCATTCTCTCGCGTCGCGGTCTTTTATGTCGTCCGCGGACTCTCGTGCGTTGCGAAATATTGTTTACAGCCGTTGCGTTCCGAGAACCGAGGAATCTAATTTTTAAATAGTTCCCCGCCATTGTCGTTTTCCCGCTGGGAATGCCAATGCGAGCGTTCGCAGTCGTTCTCCGCATTGTTTTTAACGCGACTGCGAATCTCGATTGGCTGGATCGGTTCTAGGAATCGTTTCGTTATTTAAGTGGGCGTCTTTCAGCACTCGACACGTTTTTCTACCGGGTCTCGGGAAGGAAACGGTTTGGAAAAGAGTATGAACGCGTAGTGTGGTCTGCAGGTCGATTAAGAAAGTGGACAAATTTGAATCTGTTATTATAGGTTTTATTACGAACAGTTTCACGAGTGTCCACCCTGTAGCATCAAGTAAAGATATTTACGAAACTGTTTAACACATTTAGGACCGCACATCTAGAGACTGCGTGTAGAAAACACGAGACAACTCGTGAGCGGTCCTTAATGTGTTAAAATAGTATATTTTTTGGTGAAAAGACAGCAGTGAAGCTGTGAGCTGCGAAATCGAGGTAGAAAGTCGTCGTCGAACAATAAGTGGAATTGTCACGGCCGTCGGTAAACAATGGAGAACAGTGCGTTGTTTGAATTGTATTTTTAATTGCACCTCTGGTGCGTGACTATAAAACGAGGCCCCTTATCGACGAAAACGCGACATCCGGACACGTGGTTGCGTTTCGAAAGAATCATTCGAATGCAAATGCGACCCGTAAGTGCATAATTGCGTGGCCCGTTGTATGGTGATCCGTTGATCGCAAGCGACGGTGTCCGAAATGTACACAATACGAAAGGGGGCTTCCAATTTTCTTATGCTAATTCGAACGTCCTCCATTCAAAGGAATTCCTTTCGTCGTCGACCGTACGGGCCGAGATGCGCTTAATTCGTTTCACGTTCGTGCATTTGCAACGAGGAGGATCGTGTACCTTTTAAAATCGAGTCACGGATTCCGGAGTTGCAAAATACTCGGACCACGGTGTACACGGGTGTGCAAGCGCCTTTCGACTTGAATAGTAATATTCGAATGCCGTTTTTCGCATTCTCTCCAACCAGTAGGCTAACGTAAAATTGAGAAGTAAATTCGAATCGAAGGGGGACAACGGTCCAATTGAAATATTGATTGGAAAAAGTTGAAACGTGGATGAAGTAACAGAGAAGGAGGTATCAAAGTTAAGGGATTATAGTCGCAGTCAGGAAGAGGAAAAACGACATTTCTTTGTGACTTTTTTTAGTTATTAAATAATAATTTGCATAAGTAACAATTAAGTATATCATAAAGCATCTTTTATAGAACTAAAAAACATTTTTTGTTTTAAGAAACGTTTAATTTATATTGTCATAACAGCCGATGATGTAGACAATGATTCAAAAACATAGGTTTGCGGTGAGCAAGATTTCTCTACACTGGTTTAACTGAAAACAAAAACAAAGGTAGATTTCGAAAATAGATTAGTCTAGCGGGTCCCTGAACGAAGGATTTTGGAAAAAATTAATTTAAAACAAGATGGCGTACATTTGAAGTTGATTTTCAATGTTTTCACTAAAATTAAGCGATTCAATACAGGATAAAAAGAAAAGTATACAAGAAAATAAAAAATCCTTCGATCAGGGACCCGTTAGTCTACTATATATTTTCTAAATCTACCTTTAGTTTTGTTTTCAGGTGCACCAGTTTGAAGAAATCTTGCTCACCACAAACCAAGTGGCCACCCACGCTATCGCCTGTTATGACGAAATGAATTAACCTTTTTTTAAAACAAAAATTCTTTTATAGCTCTTTAAGACATACTTTGTAATATATTTACATTTCACTCAGAAAAATTATTATTTAATACCTTAAAAAACACACACACAAGAAACTGTCCGTTTCCATTTTCCTGACTGCGACTAACCCGTTAATACCCTGAGTGTCACGTGGACCTTGTTAGGAAGCGTGGAGAGTTCAAACTTGTTGAGTAAACAAATCAATCGGAAAGCAATTAGGTGTAGAAGTTATAATAATACTGTGCTTTTTATTCGATCATCTAGTAAATTCTAGTATTTCGATTCGTCTTCTTGTAACTGTAGTTCGAGTAAAAGTATTTACTCGGTACTTTGTTACGTTAAACTACCAACCTTCTAACAATAAGTTCTTCCCTTGATATGCTAAGTCTCAACCTGATGGCCATTACAATTTATCTATATTTTATCTATGCTGACTTCAAATTTCGTATCATTTCTAGGTACACAGCCTGGTCTGTCGCAAGTGAAAGCCTCGATGATCGAGTGGCGGCGTCTGAGGACAGGTTTCGGTGAAGCTGAACGGTCTGGGGTAAGTCGATTAAAAGATCGAATTGCCGAAGGAATGGGGACCAATCGCATAAGCGATAAGCTGCTTAAAATCAGAAACCGATATTGAGTCGTTCAAACGTTCCGGTAAACAAATGGCATTTTGCCAGAGCCGGGCTAACACACCGATTGGCAACGTACCAATTTATCACGTGACGGTCTAACGAGCCAATAGATTTCGCAGAACGTCACTGACGTATTTAACCCGGACGAATAGCGGTCGTCGACAAATTTTAAACATAAATCCCCGTGGACACGTTCGGGACTCTTCTTGTCTCGTTCGAATCAAAAGTTCGGTCAGCTGGAGATGTTAACCCTTCCCTGTTGAAAAATCCTCGAGATGGTGTAGTGTACACAAACGATATGAGCGTACACACTATAAATAAGCATGGGATATTACTTAAACCAAGGAATAATACAAGTTTTCAATTAACAGGAAATAAGCAGAGATAACACTTGTTTTTATTTTACAATTTTCCCAATAATTGATAATCTCACGTTCATCGGATCAACGAGTATCTAAAATGTTGCTTATGCAGGAATCTAATTGCAGTCTAAAACGTATTGCAGTTTGACAACGAATTATTTATTGTCTGACTTTTACAACTGTCTCGACCGAACTGAAATCCGAATTATTATAAACAACAAATCACACCGCGTTCCCACGCAACCATTGCATTCACGGATACACTCACACACTTACCCTCATATTATATATCACACTCTTACATTTAGTAGAAACAATTTTAGTTGGAATGAGGAAAAAGGCTCCAACGAAAGAAAATTCGAGGAAATTCGTGGGAGTAACGTCTGTCAGCGTCCGCAACGCTATCGATTTTTCCTTTCCTCGGTTGCTGAAAGGGGAATTCTCGGCTCGCTAAGTAAAGAGGGAAAAGAATACGTCGCCTCTCTCTCTCTCGCTTTCCCGCTGCTTGTCCACAAAGAAAATCAAAGTTTACGTTAGATAAGGAGTTGCGTGCCGGTCGACCAAACAGAGATTTCGAACGCTTTGTTTGGAATCGCTGACAAAGATCCAGATTATGCGAAGCTAGCAGCGGACTCGCGATAAGGGAATAGTTCGAAGGCCGTGGTAAGACACACCGACTATTTACAGAACAAAGAGACTCGGAGAAACGAACGAAACGCACGTTTTCCCGCTTAATCTTGCCAGCCGTGCAGTACGGTATCCAGCGGAACAAATTACTCCAAAACCTTTGGAAAAAAACAATGAAGAAATAACAAAGGATTGCGGAATAGATTCTTTTCAGCGACGACGATTGCAAATAAGCCACTTTGATAGTAACGAAGAAAAATATTTGAGGAGGAACGAAGATAGATGGGCCAGGATTCAAATATCGTTAAATATAAACTATACGAGTATGTTACTATTTAGAACGAATCTAGAAATTATTGAGTTGATGTAAATATTAAGAAAACAAAATTGACTAGCTGCCATTATAATCGCAAAGGTTAATCGATCATCGTAGAAAACTAGAAGTTACCTAAATACATAACAGTTTTCTATATGTATATACAGAATGTATCACAATGGATTTACTGGGCCCTGGACCTTCGAGATGGGTGCCACGAGGCTTTATTCACGGAACCAAGGAAGGTCGGACCCTTCTTCTCGAGGTTTCGGGCTCGCTGGGAATGCAAGATAAAAACCAAAACCACCGAACATCCTCCACGAACCACTTCCTCGTTCTACAGTTTCAAGCGACGTACGATGGAAACACTTTAGATTCTTTGTTTCTTCTCCGTTGCGAGCAGCCCGCGGCGATCAGAAACGTCGCAGTTGGAACAGAAAGGAAACGCAATTTAACCAGTCTCTTGTTTTCGATTTTGCCTTTTCCTTTGACTGCAAACAAATGTATTCCAGGAACCGTCGAGTATCCCCTGTGATTCTATTATTAGTTCGTCATTGGTTCCGTGTCGGACACGTTGGAATAATAATTGCTTGAACGTGGTGGAATTTCTGATTTATAATCCTCCTTCCGGACTTCGTTAACCCTGATATTTCATTGCGTATCCGGAAGTGGATCGAGGTGGAATGAACTTGGAGGTTTCCTCGATACTGGTGATCGGGTATTAGCTACAGTGGGTGTAGAAAGTAATTTATTAATTTATTTTTTTATAAACAATGACATTCTACATGATCTAGGAAATCTCTAGAATAGATAGATTACAACAAAAAAATAGCTATTTATGTAAGTTGCGAAATTAACAAGAAAAAAATGTTGAAACAATAAGTATTCGCACAACTGTTTAAAAGTAATTTCCTGGAAATTTGATGTTTTCTAAATCGCACGGAGCAATAAATGTTTACGTTGCAAAATCTACTGTAAATGGTTCGACATAAGAATCGTACAAATACTTATTACTTTTATATTTCTGCCGATTTTTTGTATTTTCTTGTTAATTTCGCAAATTATATAAACTAGTAAATCTTGTTTGGACTATAACTATCTTAGAGACTTTAGGGAATATGTGAAATATCATTATAAAAAATTATAAAAAAAGAAGTTAAGAAATTACAATTTCACAGAAAAGTTTTTTTTGTAAATTGATCGGTGTACGAATACATTCTACACCCACTGTATGTCAATGTACACATGTACAATGTATACATATTGTAGTACACGTATGATCGTAATAGACCCGGTGGTCACGATTAATTGGATTCAATTACATCAAGGATCCCTGACATTTGTGATAAAGAACTGATTCTTGTTCACTTTCTCCGTTTTGAAACATATTGTTTCATACGATTTTGTTAAAATTGAGTTTACAGAGAATGGATACTTTCTTGGCTTTAATTACAGACTATGAACGCTACAGTTTACTAGTCACAAATTGATAGAGATAACCTGATGAGTAGACTGCGGATCTTATGCACTTATAGGAAATTTGAATGTCCAAGAAACTACAAAATGCAAACAATATGCAAGAATATAAAAAATATTGAAAGTAAAGTTCATGTTATAATATTTGCTGATTAAAATAAATTCCTATTTAGGTTGAATTTTTGTAGGCACGTTCGCGAATATTTTATCTTGCATAAAGATCCGCATTCTACTGAACAGTCTTGATCGCTGTAGTAGCTGTCGATCTCAGGCAAAACTGATGTAGGAAACTGAGGATTACTACTCTAGAATTTAGTAATAAAATTACTGAACGACCTGCTTTGTTCTTATAGAGGCAACGGATATATTTTTATTTGTCATTGTCCATTTCTCAATCTGATCGACCCAATATTGCATCCATTTCCTTCTCACCAGAGCACAGTGCGGCGAATGATAGGCAAACGTGGACAAAAATAATATTTCTATTTTTTTTTACTTGTTCGTGCGTGGTAACATAGAAAATGGATTTATATAAACATTTGTGGCTAAAACATTTTCATTGAAATGTTTACATAAATAAATATGACACTTTTTTATTAATTCTGGTAACCAAAAGAATGAAACTATACGTGGCTATTTAATAGCTCATCAATAATCATTTTATATCGACATGTAAAATAAATGAATAATAGATTTAAGGTAAACTATATTTTATAACTATTATTTAAGAGTATAACAAACAACGAATATATGTATCTAATTTTTTTTATTTATAACTTTCTTATATTAATTATTATGTCATTTATAATGGTTATTATCAATATTTATTCCGCTAACTTTGTTACATTGCTCTATCGAGATCCACTTTGCAGCAATTTCAATATTCTTGATTTTAACGACTCGTTCTAAAAAAATTTATTTCTCAAATATTAGCAGGTAGTAGCAAAAGTGGACATTGTTTGCATGAAATATAAAGTTAGAGGAACCAAATATAACAGAAACACTGATACATTTTTTTACATTTTTTTTTTAAGTCTATTTTAAAATTTAATTTCGAATCTCGCGCATAAGAATTTTTTAATAATCAGTAAATTGTTAATATAGGCAACAGCTATGAAATAAACATATCCATAATAGTGGAATCCATGACAGAGAAAATGAGCTATGAAGAATGAATATTACTACAGACTAAGTGAAAAAAAATAAGTAAATTGTACTATCGTAAACTGCGAACTGAAACTGAACATGATAATATGCTACAATTAGGTAGCCATATAACTATAAATAAGTGCGGTTCCTTAGCAACCACAAACAATTTCAAGCTATTGACATCTACGTAACAGAATAAAATGTTAGATTGTGCTCTAGCAAATTCATCATTTTTCGATTTTTGTCCATTAATCGACGCACTGTGCAGAGGAAGGAACCATTCTCAACGATTAAAGGAGCCATTAGTAAGAATTCTTTAATTTTGGAGCAAAAGTTACTAATCGAATCAACCTCTTCATGACGTTTTCCCGCGCGTCCTTTGTTCCTACAGAGCATCGCGAGAGCGCACGCGCACACGTAACGCATTCGCATACTGCGCAGCGGACTAATCTCGGGTAAAGATAAGAAAATCGGAAGCACAGGGGTGGAGCGGGATGCAGTGGTGGTGGGAATTGGTGGGGACCGTTCAGGGAAGAAGCACGTGGCTAGGTCAAACGCGCACAATGCCCGAAACCGAAGCGACAGCACGACCCAGCGTGCAAAATACATTGGGTAATCCCCGAACTGACAGCCGTGCCACACACGTGCTCTCGCGAGCGCCAAGCTGTTCCTCTACGATGTTTTAGAAGACGCAGCGTCGCCGTTCTGCGGAGTAATAATATCGCACATTGTATTTCGTAAGTGTCACAACTCATTTTGTCACATTCATTTATTTAACGCGTCGACTACCAGGGTATTTTCTAGAAGCTAGGTGTAAAAACTCATTTTAATTTAATCATATTACGTTATTAAATATATTGGGCTGGCTGGAAAGTCCATGCCAATTTTTAGTAGTAGTACAGGTCTGAATATATCGGAATGACTGAAAACAAATAACATGTATACATTTCTTAACACGTTGACTGCCAGATTAATACTCCTGAAAATT